TTTAGTACCTGTGTTAATAAGACTTTATATAAACCTATACTCAAATTCAGGATGACTCCCAGAAGACCACTGCAGTTATGGAATGCCCTCCAGCTGTATTTTGCTGTCAAAGATGGCAAATCTTCTCTCAGGCAGGGCAGAATCTCTGCAGGGCTGGGAGTCATGTCCGTGCTTGCTTTATCCCTTTTGGAGTGTGGGAGATGGTGTCAGCAAAGAACAGACCAGAGTGTAAACCTCTGGCAGTTCTTAATTACACGTGGAGAAGTTTTTTTTTGTGACCTTGATATTTCACATACATTTTAATGTGGATAACTAAGGCTGTGCAGTATTTGCCATATTTTAATGAGTGTATCTGATTTCCTTCCCTCCATGAAGTACAACAGAATGAGATTTTATACTCGGAACAGGTACACAGTGTGGGAAGAGCCACATATTAACAAACTTGGAGCCCCTGAGTTGCTTTGGCCATGAGTCTAGTTGCTCTGGATCCTTTTGAAGGTTAGTGGTGGCAAACGGTTGCTTCCAGACAGAGTTTGGGGAATATACCAGTGTGTTTGCTATTGCTACAGCCTTCCTGGACCTCATAGGTTTTGTATGAGGACATATTGCTGGTGAGCTTGACAGAATGCTGAGGTTCAGGTCATACAGGACTTCAGCACATCCACAGTCAGTCCTCAGCAAGAGATGTGTGAAAACTCAGAGCTAGACAGTAACAGAAAGGATTGTGTAATACCCTGTGCCCAGCCAACTCTGCATTGGAATGAATGTGGCAGGGATTTTTTTTTCTTGAGGCTGTTGGATGCAAGTAGGATCCTATAATTCTTTGTAGACTAGAATTTGTAAGAAACTCTAAACATAATCATTGGTGTGTTGAAAATCTGGTTTAAATAAAATAAAAATTTTCCATGCAAAAGGGTTGTATTTTTTTTCCACAGGAGTGTTCTAAGCAAAACTTCTTGTTCTGAGCAGAGAAAGGAAATCTTTCATTTCATTGTAGTGGGAATGTCCTTGAGGAAAACAGTTCTCAGATTCATGGTACTTCAAGCCTAACTAAACATGGCCTGTGCTACTGAGAGGTTCCACAGCACGCCTTCTCAAGTCCGGCATTAGATTTGGGAGAGGACTCTTGTCTAGAGAATTGTCTGTTAACTCAGCACCTTAGAACCCCGTCAATCCTGGTAGTGAAGCAAGGGGAATATTTGCTTCTATCCATCTGGCTTCAGCTAGTGCAAGTCTGGTGTTTATGGCCAAATAATTGAGGCAATACTGCCAAATAGTTAGGAAAAAAGGAATATACAATAGTGAATATCAGCGTTGTTTCTATGTAGAGTCTGCCTTTTATTTCATAAAATTCAGGAGTTGCTGTGAAATACAAGGTTTTCTAATAGTTGAGGCTTTCTTTGTAGGTGTAATGATTTGGTTCCTCATCTTCCTCTTTACCATAACGTCTTTCTGGGTGCAGCTTTTCCAAGTTACTCACCGTGCTGTTACTTCCTCGGGGTGATGCTCTGAAGGAGAATTTCTGAGTGATTTCCTATCAAGTTAATCTGTATCTGTGCCTTCTTATTCAAAGGTGCAACACTGCACAAACTGCTCTCTCTGCATGTGCACACAACTCTCTAGGATATACAACTCGAGCAACTGTGTGTAATAATTGGAGCACCTCATCAGATAAGTGGCAGAGACTTGGGTTCAACACATCCAGGTTCTTTTAAAGCATATAGTGAAGCTAATCCATCATTACAGGCATCTCAAATGAAATCTTTTCTTGAACTGCTATCTGAGAGACCAGAATGCCTTTCTGCAGTGTAATACTTCCTTGTAGATATTAAGGATTTGTATAAGGCTATATGGTTTGATTAAACATGTACTTTTTATGTGGCAGTTGAGTAGTGGCAATGGTGGAATAAGCAGCTTAAATGCCTGAGAAGTGTAAGTGCTCAGACTGCATTTCCAACAAGCATTTTGAGCGTTGTGGCCATTAAAATAAAAACCTACCAACACAATAATGGGTCAGTGGTTTAGCTCAGATTTGAGGTTGGTCTTCATATCAGAACCTTCCACTTATAGATCTGCCAGTTAATTCATTTGGGAAGAGGTGTCCTTCACAGTACACATTTTTTTTTTTTCCCCTATATGTATGTTCAGCCCAGCCACATCCCTTAAGAGAGCTCCAATATGCTGGAATTTGGTGGGTTGGCAAGGACTCATCTGTCCCTGTTCACACAGTTTTGGTGGGCCTGTAGATGTGATGTGGAGTTCCTCAGAGTGAGCTGTGTGGCAGGATTGGCCCCTGATTGAAACGTGCTCTTGGGAGTCAGCAAGGCTGCTCTGGTCTCTCTTTGGATCAGTGTGGAGACTCTGAGGGAGTTGCTGTGTGATCTTTGAAAGTGGGGAGCCATGACATTTAGCTCTCATCTTTTAGAACATTTTTCAGGGTGTGGCAATAGTTCATAGCATTGATCTAATTAGAAAAATACATGTTCAGCCCTGATGATAATTTGTTATGATTTGGTATTTACCATATTTGGGAAAACTTGCTGCATTATTGTTTCATTCTTTATGTCTAAATTTTTCCTAAAGTGATGAATTGATTTTTATTTCAAATAACATGTCTGTATTTTTCCTCCTAATGAGAGGTTTGGGCTGATTTGGGGAGAATGTTTATTTTTCCCCAGTATTTTCTTCAGCCTAGAATTTATTTATTCACCCAGTTTTTGTCAAAGGTCCTAATTAGATTTCTGTGTCTGGCTTTCTGGCTTTTAAATCGTTGGAAATTGGAATTTCTTATATCAACATTGTCATTGCTGTAGTTACAGGTCATGTGCTTTTCTGTTTTCAAACCAGACATAAAATTGTAATTGTCTGATCTTTTCTTAAACTGTTTAAAAAACAACAAAAGGGGAGTGTTCAAAATTGTTTGAAGAGCAATCCTGAAATTATCTCCACATTATTTATGAGGATATAAATAATTATATCCTTTTTTTTTTTTTCCCAAAATGTGCAATGTTAATAAACTCTCTAGTTGCAAAGAGCAAACAACACACCTTTCTAAACAGTGGGACTGCAAATGGACATCACCAGTCCTCTGGCTGTAGAAACACAGTCACTCCAAAAGAACAGAATTAAATGAAAAGTGATGCACTTAAAATATACACTTCTGTCCTGGGTGAGAAGATGGGATTTTGGGGCATCCACTGCATCATCCAGTCTTCTGCTCTGTGTCACGTGGGAGGATTTACACTGAGGACGTGCCTTTAGCTGTCCTGCCCTCACTTGTATATCCTTTGTTCTTCTTGTAAAGCCCTAAAACATGGTGAATCCCAGTTCCAGATAATTTTCCAGCTGTTGAAAGGCTCTTGCTGTTCAGATTTGGCTTTATTGTGCATACAGTATCAGTGCCTAGAATCCTTAGCTTTGGTTTGTAGGTGGTAGATAGAAAAAGCATCTCTCTTCCTGTTCTGTTTGCTTACTTCTAATTTCTGTTACTGGGTGTTAGTAGAGGCAAGGCACTCACTGTTGCTTGGTTCATGGGGTATTTCTATAAAAATTAATGGGCAACTATGACAGGGATGTTTGTCAGGCTTGAAAGTAGCAGAATCCATTCCCTTAGTGGCCTCTTTTTCAAAAAGACCATATTCTTTATTATTTAATGCATGTTTTTTTTGCTGCAACAGTGAAATAAGCAGCTCTGCTTTGCCTAGACAGGAGAAGTGCAGTGAGCTCTGTGCTAGCAGCAAGTATTTCCTTACATAAAGCTGCAAGAAAAAGTCAAATGCTTCAGTAAAATTCAGCTTGCTTTGAAGATACATGTTCAAATTGTAGCATCCCAATAAAAAGTGTGTCTCTGTGAAGTCACACCTTGGCTAAAAATGAGTCACAAATAAGTTGTCTTGTAAGAAGTCAAAGCAAATCCGTGTGTGCAAGGAGTTTCTCTCTGGGAACACTTATGATGTTGTTTCCCTGAGATGCATCCAGGGTGTCTTGTGCTTGATGAGATGGGAGTATTCCCAAGCTACAGGCAGCTGAACTTTCTAGTAGTATTAAGCAGTTTTAATACCTTTTAGTTTATTGACTTTTCAAGCACGATTAAGCACTGATCTGGGATGGGTCTCAGCGTTCAGACAGAAAGCAGGCTGAGTAATACTCAGTCTTCAGGAACGTTACTCTTAATTTGAGAGAAGTGAGAGCGTGAGGATACACATCCTTTTAGGAGGAAAACTATTCCTGCTAGTGCTCTTGTTGTGTGTTTATATTCTGCTCCCATAGCCTGCCCCCTGACATGGTATTGTCACAGTGACGTTCAGCATCAGCTTCTCAGGAATGAGACCTGAAACAATTGATGTTGTGCTCAGCTGCATCGTGGCTAATGCTGTTTCAGCATGTCACTGAATGGCCATCAGCCTCTGCTGACCTACAGGCCTAATGGCAATGGTACTTGAACACATCCTTTGCAGAAACTCTGGGTGCAGTTTTGGTGGTACACATTCACCCAATAAAGGCATTTTGTACCTGCAGGTATCAAAGCAGTGCCAGTTAACCTAATTATCAGTGCCTACCTCATCTCCTGCAAGTTGTAATTCAGTGTAGACGTAAGTAAATAGAAAGTTTTGCTGGGAATGTACTGTGTGCAAGACGTTGCTGTTTAGGTACAGCCTGGGGAAGCAGAGACCTGTCTCTGAACTGCTGACTAAAGACCTGTTGTGTTCATGCTGTGCTGTCTTCTGGACTTATGCGTGGCCCGTTATTTGACTGATTCATGCCATGAGGTAGCCAGCCCAGGAGCTGTTTCAGCAGAGAAGTCCTTTTAAGCTATCTTAGGATGTACATTCCAAACTGTAACCAATTTCTTTTTTTTTTTTTTTTTAATGTTAACATTATGCTTGGAATTTTTGACCAGTAAATGAAGAGATCATTTCTCACAAAATTCACTTAGTCACAAGTTTAAAACCAAATGTGTTTATTTTCCTGATCTTGTGCCTGTGTTGTCTCTTTTCTAGGTCCCTCTGTACAGTCGTGTGCAAGTGGACGTACACTGCAGATGGAGGCTGGGATGACAGTTTCTGGAAAATGATTGGTTTGGAAGATTTGGTGCAGGACAAATATGAAAAAATAGGTATATCAGGAGCTTGTTTAGTTTTATACATATATAAAAAAGGATATGTACGTGTATATATAAGAAGATATATATACATATAAAAGATTTTTCACTCTATTATTGCAAGTATCAGCTGAAATGTAGAAGGATTTGGTGAAATTCCAGGTGGATTGATAATAAGGCTGGATGTCCATAGGTTACAGCTCTCCTAAGTACACTTTTTACTTTGCATTGTCTTCAAAACCAGTATTTAAATATTGTGTCTTCTACTCTTCTGAAAGGCCTAGCTAGCCTCTCAGTACTGCTCAGCCTCAACTATACAGCAGTAAATGGCAGCCTCAGCAATTGATTCTGTGAAGGAAGCACCTGATATGGGTATACTGGATAGCAGGCTACAAATAAAGCCACAATAGAGTAATTTATAGCTGTTACTGACTGTGTTTTGTGAACTGTACTATTCTTCCTCATAGTAATTTTCAACAAAAGTTCTACTTCTGCTTGTTATTATCTTCCTCCTGTTTTTTTTTTTTTTTTCATTTTCCTAGAGCCTAAGTTTAATTAGAATGGTGGCCTTGCTAATAGCAATTCCTACAGCAGATACTCATTAAAAGTCCATAATGTTAATATACCAGAAAATGGCCAGGATAACTTTATTAGACTTTCCCTGTTAAGTTAATGGACTTTTAATGGATGTCCTAAGCAGACATGTCATTAACAAGAATATTACCAGACATGAATGAGAGTATTTTAATTCATCAAAGTTAATTATCTGAAATTTCCTTTGATTTTTTTTTAATGTCTAGCACTTTGAACAAGTTTGTACAGCAGTTTATATGCAGCAAGATGAAATGGAAACGGTGTAGGGAGGGCTGCAGCAAAGTGAAGTGTAATGAAATCTATAAACTTTACTGATCATCACAAAATGTACTATAAGTCATTTTCAGGTTATCAGAAAATTATACTTGAGAGCTTCCTTGAATAGGTTTCAGCTTTTCCCCCTTGCAACTGAAACTGCTTATGCAAAGGTATAAAACCTACCAGGAGTATTAGGCTTTTAGCTTCCTGAGGTTTTAGTTTGAATGCTGTTCTTACAACATCTATGACATGTGGCTTTTAGCAAATCTTCAACAAGTTAAAATAAGACCTGCAATAAATACATGTTTTTACCAGAAAATTGAACATCTCGGCAGCTGGTGGTCTCATGGAAGAGTATTTTTAAAATAAATTATTTATGAAGTTTAAGCTAAGGCTTTAATACAATATTTATGCAGTGCGCTTCAAGGACAGGGCAAAGCAATTTGCCATTTTAAGTAACAAAACATACATGTTTTAAATGATAAAGTAGCCATTAATAAAAAGGGCCTTTTGTTGTGATGGAAGCCTCATAAAACCAGTTTATATATGGCTCAACATTTAGCAAGACAAAAATAATTAGCTTCCAATACCAGGCTTGCATTTTTTTTGTTAAAACACAAAGTTTACAAAATGAATCAGTAAATTAACTTCTGTTGATAGGTGTTCCTTGCAAGAGAAAAAAGTTTTCCTGATTTAATGGGGAAGGTGTCTAGTTCCCTGGGCTTTTGGGTTGATTTTCAAGAAACAAAGCATAGAATATCTGGGTGCATCTTGACTGGAATTGGCGAAGCAGAATCTGACCTCCAGAGCTACACCAACCTGCAGACTGAAGCTTGAGGCTTCTGAAGAGCTCACCTTGACAAATCCTTTGATTTTCAGATTCTTGGGCTGATTACTTTAGGTGTATCCAAGCTATAAAACACTTTTTGTTTTGCATAATAATGCTGAAACCTGGCCTGAGGTAGAATGCTTGCTTATTTCCATGACGGTTTCTCTAAGCTTGTCCTTTTTAAAAAGGAAGGTGCTACATTCATTATATTCAATTGTGTGATAAAATCACAAAAAAGCAGGATAGCAATCTTTATTCCTGTGTCTAGGAAGAGGGATTAACAAGCTCTCTCTATGAATGTGGAAATCAGATAGCAACTTCTCCTTCCTTCCTTTGAGTTTACCTTCTAAACTGCACCTGTTGTAGTCTCTTGGAAGGGTTTAGAAGGAGACAAAAAGACAGCAAAAAAAGACACAAAAAAAGAAAGGGAACTCCCTTCTTGCCCAGAAGCTGCTCAACAATGCTGAGGTCTGTTCTGTGCTGTGGAAGTGCTTTGCTTTCTGCCACCCATAAGCTTATCAATGTCCCTCTGCACGGGAAAATGGGAATGGTAACATTCCAATGAAAGTTTGGGGGATTTGCTTGTTTTAGTCAGTGTTCTGTGTTGTTGGATTTGGGAAGAGCACTCTGAATAAGCTCAGCTCTCCTTTACTTAAATTAATTAGGACAGCATACGTCCATCTACCAGCAAAGTGCCAGAGCAGCATTGGTCACACTGTGGCTGGAATGGTCTTTGTCTCGTGGAAGGCTCCTTCCTGCTGTCTCCCAGGGTGTCAGCATTGGTGGCAAGCCTGCACAGACCTCCTCCCAGGGGCCCACAAATGCTACACTGAGTACAAAGCACACAGGATCACACCTTGCACATACCCAACTTGAGCTGTATTTATAATACTGCTTCAGGGTTCTGCCCTGGGAGTGAGCAAGCTCAGCTGCTGTAAACTTTAGCACATCATACAAAAGGAAGGCAATTGCTTTAAGTAACTCATGTGGATAGCCAGTCAAGAGTATGTGCTGCTAGGAGGCACGTCGTAGTGTGCTATGGCTGACAAAAGAATTTGAAGCAGTAGATTTAGCTGGCTTGCAGATTAAGGAACTTGAAATTGCCAGGTAACCCAGGTAGGAGTAGGTGAAAGGAGATTGCACATGGTCAAAAACTTCTCCTAAACTGAAAAGAAACCCAAAAACCTAACAAGTCTGAAGTAATTCCAGTGGAATTTCCTTTTCTGTTCTCCAGCTTGTCCAAGTCCATGTCTGTCTGCTCAAGGTTTGTTCAGCTCAGATACAAGATGTATTTTAATGCGTGCATGTTCCCCTTGTGAAGAGAGGCAGTATTTTTTTCACATATTTCTCCTAAACAGTAGCAGACTCTGAATCATCATTTCTTTCTAAACAAAGCAGAATGTCACAAGATAAAATTAGCAGAATTTTCTTACTGTAATGAAAGTAAGTACATAGTTTACTGGTTTAAAATAGGCAGAAAAACTGTGGGTTTTTTTTCTATTGGTAGTGAAATCATTAATGTTTCCAATCAGAGGGAACTATTGATGGGTACTTATGACTAGACTTAATTTTGGAGTAGCTTTAACCTTAATGATACTGAAATATTTAAGGAAACTACCCGAGAGCAACTTCTTTAATGTATGTATTTCTTCACTCTGATAAATACACCTTTAAACATAACTTCTAAAATGTCTTGCACTGCAAAAATAAGCAATCACTCTGATATTGGGTAGTACACTTCTCTTAGTTTCAGTGTAACTTTAACATATGACCTTGTTGATAAGGGAGACCCTCACATCTGACCTTTAGAATCCTCCACAGACCTTTCCCACATCAAGGCGTGGGTTCACAGATGAAAATTGCCAGGCCTTTGACATCTCACATTTCCAACAGAGGACTAACCTTTCAGGGAATCCACATAATAAGTTGTTTGTAGTCCCTTCTGTACATTGTGAGTTGGCTGGTCACATTTTTGAAGGTAAAGAATCTTATCTGGAGATACTACAAAATTTATTGATGCCATTAATTTGCCCACCAAGACAGCAGAAGATGGCCTGTATTCAAAACCATTCTGAAAGTGTTGTGTACTACAGGCATTAGCATTTATCTGCTGTGGTGAAAGCACTTGATGAGTATCTCTTTGTGGTATTATAAAACCTAGAAAGACATTAACAATTCCGTTAAAATTTCATGTTCTATAGACCTCTTAGGGTACTGAAGCATATTTTCCATTTGCAGGAAAATGCCTGATAAATTTTCACCACAACCCTCTACTTCAGGGGCTACTTAAGGGACCAAATAATGATTTTTTTCTTGAATAGTAATATTTTATATCTGCTCTTTTTTTGGTTGAAGATGGTGCATTTGTTTGAGAGCACTGGAGGTAATACAGAATAGGTTTTACTGATCCTGTAAATCGTGTGTTGAAGGCTAAAATACTGTCTTTTGTAAGGGGCAGTTTGTCACCTTCTTTTATTTGTGATGGAGCTGCACACTGATTTTAATGAAGTATTTTATTTTAAAAACAAACAATATTGGAAATATAGCCCTTCAACACAATAAGGATTTAATAAACCCATTTCTCAGCTTTTCCTGACTGGGAATTTACAGCCACATCCTCAAAAGGGAATAAATACACAGCTCGGATATATAGGGTCTTTATGAACATCTGAGGCAAAACTGAGGAAAGTATTTGGATTGGTTAAATCTCACTAGTTTTATAGAAATTCAGTGCTTGCCTTGAACTCTGAGTGCTAATGAAAACAGCTCTTGCACAGACAGCTTGTGGTATCAAGTAGGGTTTGTGGACAACCGTCGTTCACCATCCTGTTCACAAAGTGATAAACTCTTTCTTAAAATTACTTGGATTTTTTTTTGATTCAACTTCTGTATGACTGAATGATAAGGACATCAGAGTTCCATGCCTGTCTTCAAGCACCACTTCTTTCTCTGTTTCATACCTCTTGAAAACATAGCTTTGCTTAATTTGCTTTAGCTTAAGACTGGTAGAATTCTTTCATGTTTGATTTTGACTTTGCAGGTGGTGGTGTTGTTGTAAGGAAGAAGACCTTCTGGTCCTTATACATCTCTTTACTTAAACCCCACCCTGGGTCTTTTACCCACTCGTCCTTAAAGAACAATGCTTCCCATTTTCCACAGATTGCCTCAATCGACCTCCAGTAGGTTTTCTTCTGGTTTTGGTTGGTGTGGTGTTTTTTGTTGTTGTTGCTGTTTTTTTAAAAACTTTTTTTTAACTATATTTTCAATGAAGAAGGATTTGACATGACTGTCAAGTGCATTTATGGTTCCTGGTCTCTCCTCCCATCCACCAGTA